CTCCTGCAATAACATTATCTTTCAACCAGAGCTCTCATACAGATCAGTCTGGACATTAAGTGCTTCCCTGAGATCTAAATAAACTTATCAGAAACCATATTAATCCAGAACATTTTGGGGTAAATATTAATGTAGTAGTTTCCGAGGAAACACAGAAATTCTATATATGTAATATATTTATTTTTGTTACTGACAGATGATGATAAAAGAATACTGACTCAGTGTTCAGGGTACTGAGAGTCTGGTATATCTACTTAAAGGTTTAACTTTTTACTAGAACATCAAATACAGCAGTTTTACTGTGGTCACATAATTTGGCTGCATAAGACAGCTTAAAGTGATTGCTTCCTTTCATCTTGTGCCACTTCACTCTCCAAACTCCACCTGTCCTAAATGACAATCCACCAACTGAATGTGGCAAATCCAAGACCTTCTTTCCCATTCATATTGAAATTCCTATTCAGTCTCTAAAGGCACTACATATAAACCCGCTGTAATAACATACATCAAATAATCATTTATTTTTCTACATTTCAGTACTTGTTATAAATATTTTATTTCTACTTTTCCTACCTCATTTGCAATTCACATATATTTCCTCATATTTCTGTCATATTTCCTTTTTATAACCATAAGCTATATTTCTACTTTATCATTTCCTTTTAACTACTCTGGAAGACCTTTATATATTTCAATTACCTGCAGACTCACAGTCCTACGGCATAATCTTAAAATCAAAACTATGATACTGATGCACTCCTCTGCATATTAATTCTGGATATTAGAATATTATTAGAGTATAAGCATGCAGGTATCTTCTTAAATTTCTTTGATACATCAAGGTTCCCATCTTTCATCTAATGTAGTTAATGGCTTTGATCAAAGCCGTGCCGAACCCTCTATAAGCATATACTTTAGTGTAATGAAAAAGATACTTGCAGCCCTTTACTGATTTTTCCTTGACACTGTTTCGGTGTCAAAGTAGATTTGACCTACACATGTCCTGCAATTAATCAGAGAAAGTTTCCATTAAAACTGAAGTATGCTATCTTCTGTCCCTCTCTGACTTCCATCTTTCTGCACAACTTTTCTATTTGAAAAGGAAGAAGGCTCATAGGAAGTCATTAAGGTCTGCAAAGTTTTCATGTGTCTTCTTTTTGTTTGTACTACAAGCAAACGCGCAAGCGCTATTACAATTGCAATTCCATGATACAAAAATAGTCAACAAGAAGCTGTAAACCTACCTAATCTTTCAAGTTTTTATTAATCAAGTATTTCTTACACTGCCTTATGATAGATTGCTTGTTAAAGCTGTGCATTACAAAAGCATTCTGAATTCAGGAAAAATCATAGAACCCATAAATCCCACACTGCCACAGTGGTTTATAAATGCTCATACAATGGGCATGCTTTAGAAAATTAATTACCAAAATGAATCATTTATTGGACCCATTCACAGTGAAGTGTTTCCAAAGTGACGGTAGTCACAGCTAAGCAAGACACCAAAGTCAGGTTTTCATTGTATTACCACACTTCAATAACTGCATGTGGGAATTTCACCTCCAAATAATATTAATTTTTTGTTTTCTCTTTTCTTCCATAACTCCTTTCCTACATGAGCCTAAGTCACCATGATTATCAAAACACAGGCTTGAGAAAAATACACTAAAAAAATAAATCTGGTTGATGTTTGACATTATAATGTCTTGCCAGGTTTCATCACTCATATCATGTCATACTGAGTAATATAATCTGATTGATGCAACTCACAGGGACATGTTTTTGCTGAAGAATTTAAAGGTATCAAACAATCTTGGGACAGAATTCAGAGCTACTATATGAAAAGGATTTTGTTATTTTATTTTTCCATGAAGATAGAATTATATGGTTTTCTTTTGTTTAACCCCTATGAGATGTAAAAAAAAACAAAAATAAAAACAAAAACAAAACAACTTTCTTGAGATTGCATGGATCATACAACTTTTAGTCTTCATTAGGAAATCTGTGTTAAATAATTTCAGCTTTAGACTGAAGCCAAAAGTAAAGCATAGACATCTCATTACAGCTTTATTATTTGGCTGCAGATTAGTACTTACACTGTAAAACGCCTTTTAGGGTTATAGAAACTGGGATATGAGGTTATTTTCTCTAAACCCTTCAAAAATATTTAGGAATATAAAATTTTCCCTTCATTCTGCAGGGTAAAATTTTAATTATATAACAAGATGATGGAATGGTTAACCTAAAACGGGCCTTAGGGATTTAAAGCATAAAATTAAAACTAGCATTTTCTAGCCTCATTATAAGAAGTTAGTAATGAAATCTGATTTCGAGACAAGATGATTATCCAGAGATCAGAAAGAATAATCTCAACTTCATTAAATTACTTTTGAATAAACATAAAAGACAACAATAATTTTCAAGTGATTTTTAAAAGTAAATTACTCTTTCAAATTACAATTTCAAAACACCTTGACATGTTTTTCTAAAGAAACTGCCTGAAATATTGGATGTTAAGCTGTTTAATGGAACATACTTTGTATTTAACTTCATGACCTAAATGACAACACTTAAAGCCTGACAAATCCTACAATATGCAGTTTCTTTGCAATATTTAAATGCTACGTATATCTTTCTTTTGTGTGCTTGTGCAATCAATTCAATGTTTTTATTATTTTAACTCTATAAAAGAATTTTTCTAGTTCAATGAAGTTCTTTGAAAATTTAAGCCTCACTCTTATTTTTCATTTTAGCCATAGAAGGAAAATCAATTACTTGTCTAAAAAAATTCTAGTAGTGAAATTCTCTGGTAGGACTCAACAAGTATATAGTAACTCCTTCAACTCAGATGAATGTATCAAAGCAGCACTAGGCTTTCCTAGCCTCTACTTTTTTCTTTTTTTTTTAATCCTTTTTGTTTGTTTGTTTGTCTGATTGATTTCTGTTTTTCATTTAATTTGCATGGGAAAGCTTACTATAAATGCACATACAGCCAGGTTTATTTCTAGAACTCAGGAGAAAATCCTGTTCTTTTCACAAGGAATAATCTGATATCCCATGGTAAGCATCACTGAATAAATTTTCACTACTTGAGCTGCTTTCTGTACCACTGATATCAACAGGTGCTGTGGGAACTTACACAACTCTGAAGTTAAAGACAGTTAAACAATGCTTCACTTCTGAAGCCCAATAAAAAATATTACCATGACACCTACAGCTTATGATTACATTTCTTAACAGCAGGTGTAATCCTCAATGCCATTTATAAAATGGTTTAATTTTTAACTTATGATAAACACTTGAAATGTCCTATGTTAATTGTATGTTTAAGATTACCTTTGTTAAGTATTTAATATTCTGATCTCAGTATTTAATATTGTGACCAAGTTTGAACCTTAGCAGGATTCCATATGTAATCATAGAATCATAGAGTGGTTAGGGATGAAAAAGACTTTAAGATCATCTTGTTCCAACCCCCCTGCCATGGGCAGGGACACTTCACACTAAACCATGTCACCCAAGGCTCTGTCCAACCTGGCCCTGAACACTGCCAGGGATGGAGTATTTACCACTTCTTTGGGCAACCCGTTCCAGCGCCTCACCACCCTCACAGTAAAGAACTTCTTTCTTATGTCTAACCCGAACAATTTTGATTCTCTTTTTTTTTTCTTTCTTGTGTTATTTCAGTTATTTTCTTCAGTTTAACTATGGTAAAATTCTTCTACAACTACTATCTCTGAGGCATTCCTGCTGGCTCAGCAAACACTGATGTTTCCCCCTCTCCTAACCCCAAGTTTGGTAACCCAGCACAATTCAGTGCATTATACTGGATACTGCAACATCACTCAACTGCTTTTTCTTTTGGTTTAGCAGTATTAAAACAGATTGCTCAGCTAGAGGAGACAGACAAAGGTCAGATAGGAATGAAATCGGAAGAAAAATTACACCATATATACTGGCAAGCATCAATCTTGAGGCTTATGAAGAAATTTCAGTCATAGCTTGACTCTGGACTTCCTGGATATATTTTAATGCTGTATCTGGCATTACATGCTATATCTGGTTCTACATAAAAGTCAGAGTACGTATTTTTATTTTTTTTTTAAAGAGGCTTAAAGTTGCTAATAATTATTTCTTATTTTTACAGACCAGAAAAGGATAACATCATAACTGTCACAAAAAAGAACCGTCTTACATTTTCCGTATAATTGAACTTTCAAACTAATAGGCTGATTTCAAACTCAGTACAGAGACATCCCCAGATATAGACTGACCTAAGCTAAACAACCCTTACTGATGAAGCAATTCAAGTTTTCTACCTTATTCTAGATTATGAATGGATAGTTCAAATCCGGCCTAAGTTCAGGTAGGCCTTTATTAAGCAGTCAAAGTTTAAGCATTTATCTAAAACAGAATTAGATAATCAATTCTTTTTTTATAAGGTAACACACTTCTAATATCAAATGAGTTACTGATATACATTTAATGTTTACAATAAAAAGCCAGTAATTTTTTCTATTTTATTGAAAAAATGTTCAAGTGTTCTACTTACTGTTCAGCTGAGCTTCTAAAGTAAAGCAGAGTACATAACCTTAATTCACATGGAAGACAGACTTGATATTATGTTTACAGAAAAAAAAGTTCATAGTATATGACCCCCTTCACCATTGTGAAGGGGCATGACCTAAACAAATATTATAGGTACCACAAAACAATGCTTAACAGTAACATATAAAAGCCAAATCAGTGTGATAAGGGTGATTTGTACCATTGCTGGCCCTGCAGAGCTTAAATTTAAGTCTGCCTTTAGAGGAGCTGATTTTTGGAGTATGCAGTATCTTTGCGTTGTTCAAGAAGTCACTGATGAGGAGAATACTTCCTCTCCAATGGACGAAAATCTTTTAGAAGACCGATAGATTAATTATTACCGAGGATATTAGAGAAGAAAAAAAAAAAAGAAAAAAGTTTACATCCACTTAGAAACTTTATTATTGTCATACCTGTTACTTTCAGTCTGTCAGCACCAATAACAATCTCATCTTCATCTGCAGAAAACAGTACTTTTCCACTTTCAGTTGCCCTCACTTCAAATCTCTTACTCTGGGCCTCCACAGCATCAGCTCCTGAAATCAAGGGAGTGAATATTTCATCTGCAATATGTTGTAAGAATGTCATCAACATACATAGAATACCCAAAACATATTGAATACACGAGGCTTTTATAAAATACTGGGCTTTCTGTTGGCCTGGTAATTTGTATTATAAAATACTGTTAAATTAATTTACAGAGTAACTATTTCACTATTGAATATCAGGATAGAATTTAAACTCAAAAGCATCTATTTCAGTGTTGCATGGAAGTCAGCCCAAGAACTTAGAATGTACTTAAATTCTGAGATCTTGAAATGGCTATTCAGCTTAAACTACAGGGTTTTTGCCAACAGCAAAAAAAGAAAACATAACCTATTCCATAATCACCAACAAATCAGCACACCAGAAAATGGTATTTTTCATTCAGTCCTACTGCAAACATGAACAACAGAATAAGAAAACAAACAAACAAACAAAACAACCAATAAAACAAAAAAGATGAACTGACATATCACAGTTTATTTCATATTCTATGAAAATTGTCTGAAAGCTCCAAAACTCTAAAGTAATCTTGAAATTAAACAAACCTATGGCACTGCATCCAATAGTGCAAGAAAAGAAGTCTGTAGTTACCAAAACTCTGTCAAATTTACTATGCCTTTCAATTTACTGGTCTTATCCTTACTCTTCAGTGTTTTTTCCTGCTAAGTTGTTTTTGAAAATTTTTATTTTATTTTATATTTTAATTTATTAAGTGATAGCAAAAGTTTAATACTGAAAATAGTGTTGAAAAGCAATGAACTGCATATAGCAAAACCAGCTGTAAGGCAAATTGCAAGACTTAATGGAATAATTATGTTACAATTTTCGACAATCATTGATCCCTAATCACATTTCTAATGTACACATGGAATGACCCATAATTCTATATGGGTAAAAATTACGGGGAAGGCATTATGGATGAAGAAATCCCTGTCTGTCATTTCAGTTTACCAGTTTGGCTTGCAGGTTTGTGAAAAACACTTGCTTCCATCATGTGGAAGTTTCCAGCTTAATATGCAAATGCACATTATCAAAATATATAATAATAAAACTGTGATAACTAATTTTGGATGAGTAATTGCCATAGTAATTTATATTTACCAAATCAGCTATAAAATCAAAGCAACAGTTTTTCTTACTTTCAAATGAACTTGTATTTATACCATGAAAAATTTCTTATTCTTTATAATTCATGAATGTAAGAAGAAAATGAAAGGGAATATTAAAAACTTTTGCAATGCCAAATTTTCTTGAAGTAAGACAAGTTTATTCTGTTGTAAAAGTCTAAAATGATATTTTCTCCCTCTCTTTGTACAACTGAATTTTATCTTAAATGGGGTAGTCATATGGGTGTCTTTGTTTAGAAAAATAATAAATTTCAGTAAAGACAGACAGGGACATATTTCAGACAACATAATGTTAGCCATATGCTAAATGCTACACCTCACAAACATTCCAGGATGTTCATTAATAAAACGTATCACAGCCTAATTGTCCATCAGGATAAATGTAATCACAATATATATTCACACATAGCTGTCATTGAATGCATCCACTATCCTCTAAACATTTTCCATAGGTCAGCAGTTATGTTCCTCGTACTGTTGCCCCCAGGCACACCCAAAATTTTTGTTTGAGATGTTAGCATTTAGCTAGTGATGCATGCTAGCAATAAAATTGTGAAGGATACTCTGTTTTGTTGCACTGATACATGTAAAGATATTTAAAAACTTTGAAATGTGTATTTATTTGTTATACGAAGACTTAATTTTTCGAAACCCAGTGAGATCTAGGCATTTCAACTCACCAAATTTCTGGTGAGTTGAAAAGGCTATTGTGTATCTTTCTAGTGGCAGAAACACATAAGGAAATTAGGAGGTTAATTTATACATATATATATATATATATTTTATTTTACTTCATTTTGAGATATTTAAAAGACATACAATTAAAAGGCATTAACTGAATGTAAAATGTATTAAATTAAATGTATTGACTTAAAACATATACCTTTGAGGAAAAATTGGAAGGAATAAATTTTCCTGGTTTCGTCAGAAGTATGCTTTCAAAATCTCAAAGCTCTTCTTCATTTGTGTATTTATTTTTCTGTCCTAGTCTAGTTGTCAATCTTTTTGTGAATTTCACTCTATTCTAAGGCAAATCTCAGAAGACTTGCATTTTAAATTATTAGAAAACGTAAGTAAGAATTCTGTTAATAAATTTCAGTTAACAAATATTAATTGTATTTCAAAACAATAAAGTTCATAGTTTCAGATTGCTTAACAACTACCATAACCTTCTACGTGAAACTATTGAATAATGGAACATAATATCAAATATAGTACTTGATAAGAGTATCACAATAATCATGAAGGTCACATACTTTAAAGTCTTTAAACACCACTATATACGAAGCACTGTATGCTTATCTCCCAGATTTTGCAGAATGAAAAGATATCACACAAGATGTAAGGGTACAACAAGTCCCTAAAACGAAAGGACTTCCTACTGGTAAGTGCATTCACAGTGCTCAGTATCTGGTCTCCTGCACATGCCAGACTGGTGAGGCATCATCTGAACTAGTGTGCAGCCAGGCACTCTGCCTGAGTGCTTGCATTTTCTTTGGTGGGAAATTGCAGCAAGGAGGAGGAAGGAGAGCCCTTAAGTATCACTTCAACAATCAGAAAGCATACTTAAGTCATTTTTGGGGGGAAACAATCTGAAGAAAATAAGCTGAAAATGCCTCCTACAATGTCTAGATAAAGGTCAGTCAGGATATTTATGTGGTAACAGGTAATAAACACAGGTAGACTAAGCAATTCCACTTAACATGAAGTAAGCAGAAGCTAGTAAGAAAGGGAAGCTAGGGACTAGGTTAGGAAAGCTAAGGCCCAGTTAGAATTCAACTTGGCTAGGCATGTGAAAGATAAAAGGAACGGATTCTGTAGGTACATTACAAATAAAAGGCAGACAAGGGACAACATGGGCCCTCTCAGGAAGCTATCAGGAGAACTGGCTACCCTGGATTTGGAGAAGGCTGAGGTTCTGAATGACTTCTTTGTCTCAATCTTCACTGGCAAATGCTCTGACCACACCACCCAAGTCTCGGAAGGCAGATGCAGGGACTGTGAGGATTAAGACCTTAGGCCCAGTGTAGGAGAGGGTCTGGTTCGAGACCATCTTAAGAACCTGAACATGCGCAAATCCATGGGACCTGATGAAATCCACCCACGGGTCCTGAAGGAGCTGGCAACTGAAGTTGCTAAGCCACTGGCCATTATATTTGAAAAATCATGGCAGTTAGGTGAAGTTCCCGACGACTGGAAAAAGGGAAATATAACCCCCATTTTCAAGAAGGGGAAAATGGATGACCCGGGGAATTACAGAGCAGTCAGTCTCACCTCTGTGCCTGGCAAAATCTTGGGGCAGATTCTCCTGGAAGGCATGCTAAGGCACATGAAAAACAGCAAGGTGCTTAGTGACAGCCAGCATGGCTACACTAAGGGGAAATCCTGCTTAACCAGTCTGGTGACCTTCTATGATGGGGCTACAGAACTGATGGACAGGGGTAGAGCAGTTGACGTCATCTACCTGGACTTGTGTAAAGCGTTCAACACTGTCCCACACGACATCCTTGTCTCTAAATTGGAGAGACATCAATTTGATGGATGGACCACTTGGTGGATAAAGAACTGGCTAGATGGCCACACACAAAGAGTTATGATCAACGGCTCAATGTCCACCTGAAGACCAGTAACGAGTGGTGTCCCTGCGGAATCGGTGTTGGGACCAGTCTTGTTTAACATCTTTGTTGGTGACATGGACAGTGGGATTGAGTGTGCCCTCAGCAAGTTTGCCAATGACACCAAGCTGTGTGGTTCAGTAGATATGCTGGAGGGAAGGAATGCCATCCAGAGGGACCTTGACATAATTGTAAGGTGGGCAGATGCCAACCTCGTGAAGATTAACCATGCCAAGTGCAAGGTCCTACACCTGGGTTGGAGCAATCCCAGGCACAGCTACAGGTTAAGCAGAGAAGAGATTCAGAGCAGCTTTCAGAGGAGAACTTGGGGGTGCTGGCTGATGAGAAACTTAACATTAGCCAGCTTCAGTGTGTGCTCACAGCCCAGAAAGCCAACCGTATCCTGGGCTGCATCAAAAGGAGCGTGACCTGCAGAGATCGAAGGAGGTGATCCTGCCCCTCTACTCTGCTCTTGTGAGACCTCACTTGGAGTATTGTGTGCAGTTCTGGTGTCTCAACATAAAAGGACATGGAACTGTTGGAACAAGTCCAGAGAAGGGCCACAAGGATTATCAGGGGACTGGAGCACCTCCTGTATGAAGACAGGCTGAGAAAGTTGGGGCTGTTCAGCCTGGAGAAGAGAAGGCTGCACAGAGACCTCATAGCAGCCTTCCAGTATCTGAAGGGGGCCTACAAGAATGCTGGGGAGGGACTCTTCATTAGGACTGTAGTGAAAGGTAAAGCAGTAATGGGTTAAAACTTAAACAGTGAATGTTTAGTTTGGATATAAGGAAGAAATTCTTTACTTTAAGGGTGGTGAGGCACTGGAATGGGTTGCCCAAGGAAGCTGTGAATGCTCCATCCCTGGCAGTGTTGAAGGCCAGGTTGGACAGAGCCTTGGGTGCCATGGTTTAGTGTGAGGTGTCCCTGTCCATGGCAGGGGTGTTGGAACTAGATGATCTTAAGGTCCTTTCCAACCCTAACTATTTTATGATTCTAAGTACTGTCTGGAGAGCTTTTTGTAAAAATACTCTGCTCATTTATGGAGAGAGGTAACAAGAACATAACAAAAGGGACAATTTTTAGTACGGCCTGTTGTGATGGGATGATGGGTAATGGTTTGAAACTAAAAGAGGACAGATTTAGAGTAGATATTAGGAAAGACTTCTTCAGTGTGAGGGTGGTGAGGTACTGAAACAGGTTGCCTGGATGGATATTCAGGGCCAGGATGGACTGGGCTCTGAGCAG